CCAGTGTAACATTCACTGTGCCGTTGAAATATGCCTGTGTAACCTAATAAAAATGACTAATCGTTCCATGTAGCCTGTTTGTGGTGCATAATAAGAATTTGTTGTTCTAACTTAATTCCTTATTCTTATAACTAATGTAATAGAGACTGACCTTAGTGTCATGATTAGTATGTAATAAATAATATAAGTGATACTTGAATTACTTATATGACCTGTAGGGGTCAGTGTATGTAGAAACCCTTATGCTCTTATATATAATGACCTGTAGGTGGCAGTGTAGTTTTGGACATCCGGAATGTATTTAGTAACATATTGCAACAATTGTGGCAGTGATTTGATCAGTGATCCGATCACAAGTTGAAAAAACGTAACGTGGCATATAAATTGGAATATAGCAATGTAACTAAATTGACTGGTACATATGAAATTAGTGATGTGGAAACATAATTAAAATGAGGACTATGTAATGGGATTTAGAAAAAATAGAATTCACGTGACCGGCGTGATTAGAGCTAATCCCCTTTTGAAATGTAGTTGGCGCCCGTAATTATGCCTGCCGGTGTGCGATGTAATGCGATGAAAGGGGGATGTAATTGGCCGTTATATGGAGGAATTATGGGGAATGTAGTTTTTGGAGAGGATACTATTTCAGCCGATAAGATTGTGTGATGAGCGACGGCGGTGATATAAATTTAACGCAGAGGTATGAGGAATTTAAAGTATAATGTTATGTGACCCTAAGATATTTATGTACTTAATGAATATACAGTGCGAAGTGATAACTGACTGTACGGGTGTGTGCTAATGCCCGTCGGGCGACATGAGTTACGTATGGAACGAGGGTAGCTGTTACCGATGCCGTGGGACTGTTGCCAGGCGGCACGGGTAGGTCAACTTAAGATATGCGAATGCCTATGATGTAATCAGCGGCGACGACAAGAAGCTTAGAAGCTGGACGGATGGAAACCTGCTGCTGGGTTCCTGGACACAGTTTCAGCGTGGAAGACCTCGTGAGAAGACGGAAGTATTCCAAAATGGCGACTGGATGAACCGGAAGTGCATTCAGACGCTGACCTTGATCGGTAAGGAGTCAGGTAAGAGGTGTAGCTTATATAGGGGAGTAAGTTAACTTAAGCCCCTCCCACAAATACAGGCCAAACGGCCTTAATATATATATATATATATATAAATCTATATATATTTGGAGAAATGGGGAAAAACTCAGGAATCATCAAGAGTCCAGCATTGTAAACTGGAACTCTAGTTAATTCCAAATTTTGAGTATAGATATTTAGAATATAAGACAAAATGAGTATTGTTCCTTTATGTGTAAACCTTGGAGGAGAAAAAAGTAAGATTCGCTCTTCCTGTGAGACACCCTTAAAGGTAATATAGTAACTGATGTCTTCACTACAGCTAAACTATCCTTCCTCTAATCTCCACCCACCTTACTGCTTCGTGGCAGTCTTCCTAAATATTCTAAGCTGCTAAGTAAACTTGTATATAGTTTACTTAGCAGCTTAGAATAGTATAGTATTGGTACCCGCAAATAAAAATGGTGGCATCTGCTCAACTTGCGATTCAGCGCTAAACTGCGCCTTTCTCAAGAGCAAGAGCCGTTCCTTGTCTTCTGTGATTTTAAGGTGATTAAGTCCCGTCCCTAGCTTGCGTCATATACTCACAGTGGGCGGTAGCAAGTGCAACCGCCCTCTTTCTAATAGTGAGACAGCCTCAGCTAATCAGCCTAATCAGTTAACCACTTACTTACCAGCAAGAGAGTGCACTTGTTTGCAAAGATCTGGCGAACATAACTGAGCGAACATCACAAATTGAAAACAGACGAACAGACATCAACTCACAATAAAATGACGAACAAGGCTGAAGCATGAATGAAAAGTTGAATTCACTTACATCAAAAGTAAACAAACTGGAGGATCGCCATCAGCAAAATAACATCCGGAAGCCAAAACTATTGGAATGTCCAAATAGGTGCAGTATGTTTTGGCCATTATTATTACATTTTATTGAACACCATTGAGGGGGACTTAATCATTGATCGGTGCTACCGATTGTCCCGACCAAATTTGATTCTGATCTTAGTGCCAAGAGACACTATGTAATAATTAATTTCTGCCATATAAAAGTATTGTTCTGATCTGTTCATCAAGGGGTTGCCTTGAATAAGGATTCCCAGCATTTATATTTTTTTCCAGGCCATTACTGCAGTGACTTTAGCAAAACGTATGGAATTCATTCCTTTTACCAAATCGTTAGAAGTGAACAACATTCGATATTGATGGGGGTTCTTGGGGCGCGATGATGTAACATGCTGGAAGTGGTCGGATGTTGATGTACGCAACGTGAGAGCTGCTATAGGAAGGACACTTAATGTCCTGAGCAGTTGACCCATGAGCAATATATGACTAACAATACCACGGGCTCATGGCACACTAATTTTGGCAAACCAATGAGTCTTTCACTCAATTGTGGTTCAAGCACTGGTGGCAGGAACTTGGCCTGTTTATTTTAGCCTGTGGCCTACAGGGCAATACTTTTAGCGCAAGAGGTTGCGCTAAAGCTGATTAGGGAAAACATTGAACTGGTGGTAGATAATGACCCCGTGAGTCTGCTAAACATTCTCTGCATGATACCTTTGAACAAGGCACCATGTGCTAGACAACTGAGGGAGACAAAAGACAAACTAACAGAGGGGAAGGTCTACTAAAGCTCAAGCTGCATAAGCCTAAGGATAAGTACTATTTACCCCTTTTTTATTATTACAAGCTGTAATTATTATATAATGGCACTGTCACTATTATTTGAGATGGTGATATTACATAAGATAGTTAAACCCTAGTGAGATAATATTTTCTCTGCTCTTAAGTTCAAATATAAAAAGCAAAAAAACAAATATTACATTCTTAGCTGGTTCAGGATTCCCAAAACACAGCAGACCCACAAAGTGGTATCAGTTCAACAATGTCCCCCCCGAGGTGAGAGGAAACATATGGAAGGACCTCTATTAACAGCAATGGAACCTTTTAGAATACAAAGCCTTTGTAGAAAGGATAAGAGAAAAAAAATGCAGGAACTGCACAAAGATCAACATACAAACTTTGTTCAACTCACTGGTGAATTACAAAAAAGTATAAAATAATCTTGGTGAAAGAACAAATAATCTACAGATGAAAATGGATGACATTATAGATTCTCATAACACCTTAGTAGACAATCACCTACAACTTAAATTTGCAGATGTTGAAGATCGCTCACACCGCAACAACATCCATATTAAAGGCATTCCACACTCAATTGCAGCAATGGAATAAGAAGAATTTTTCAAATCTTACTTCACATGTATCATCCCAGATATACCTGTTTCAGAGGTGGTTATTGATAGAATACATCTACCTAAACACACTGCACCACTTGACTCACCAAATGACACTATAGTACGGATACTTTTTTTTTCATTATAAAGCTAAGACAATGACAGCAAGTAGACTTCAATGGAGAGTGGATGAAACCTTTGCTAGTCTTTATATCAATATTCCACGCCGAGCTCCTACCGTATTAGCAGTTCTGCCAGCTGTCTCCTGTACCATCTAGCGGCACCTGGTCCTCCTCTCCGAGAGGTGTCCTGGCTATCGCCGCTGCTTTGATCGGGCTCCCTCAGTCGATCCCTCAACCGCTTTCCACGAGGATGCAGCTGTGTGTCCTACGTCATCTCGCTCGAATATTAACTCATTAATAGCTGCACAGTCAGGCTCGGATAATGAGAGAAGGTCTGCAGCACCCCCTTCCCTGCTCACATTTTAGTACTTTACAAAGTTTTGTGTCATCTGCAAACACTGAAACATGGCTTTCAATGCCTATTTCAAGATAATTTAGAAATATGTTAAATAGAAGCGGTCCCAAAACAGAACCCTGAGGGACACCGCTTACCACTTTTGTCCAGCCTGAAAATTTACCATTACTCAGCATTACAAAGGTAGCGCAAAAAAACGGAGTGGGAAGTTTGGAAAAATGATGTATGAATATGGATTATATGATTGATGGCGGATCTCAGATCTTGGGTTAGGGGACTACACTTATTATTTTCATGTCCATGATAAATATACACACATTGATTATTATTTTATAGACTGTTCCCTTCTTTATAATTTAAAATCTATTAATGGGGGACCTATAAAGAGGTCTCATCATAGCCCATTAGTCTTAAATAAAAGCTCTTCATGATGGAGAATAAATGCTAGTTTACTCCAACGTCCTGATATGTATATAATGCAAGATAATGCAATACAGGAGTACTTTTCTTTAAATAGTAATGAAGAATTCTGCATTAATAACAATCTAAACTTAAATCTCACTGCAGTTTTTGACAATTTAGAATTTCAATTTATTCATTAGAGGGAAATAAATAAATCAAACTGTCCCATTTAAGGGACAGTTTGATTATTTAGAATGGGGGCGAGCCAGGGCACTCCTGACACCATAATCACTACACCATTATGGTGTTCTAAAGCAGCTATGGTGCTGTGAATGTTAAGAAAGAGGATAAAAAGCTCTACATCACGCTCTAGGGCGCATCACTTAAAACTGTGTGAAACCACAGTTATAACAGCTTTAACTAAATTTTATGTTATTTTCCCTCATAGAGTAAGCCTATTTTTCCCAGAAACCTCCCCTTCCTACCATGAGAGGAAGAAAGACTGTGACCGTTGAATGATTGGTAAGTCCTAGATATTTATCATTTTCTTAAATCCCAATGTGTTGCTTTCAGTTTTACCATAGCAAATCTGTTTAAATTTAGTAGTGGGTGATATACATATTTCCAATTCTGATACAGTGTCTTGCAAAAGTATTCACCCCCTTTGGCATTTTTAGTGTTTTGTTGCCTCACAACCTGGTATTAACATGGATTTTTTGAGGATTTGCATAATTTAATTTACAGAACATGCCCACAACTTTTATTTTTTTAATTTTTTTTTTTTATTGTGACGCAAACAACAAATAGGACAAAATAACAGAAAAGGTCAATGTGTATAACTATTCACCCCCTAAAGTCAATACTTTGTAGAGCCACCTTTTGCAGCAATCACAGCTCCAAGTCGCTGTGGATAAGTCTCTATGAGCTTGCCACATCTTACCACTGGGATTTTTGCCCATTCCTCCTTGCAAAAATGCTCCAGCTCCTTCAAGTTGGATGGTTTGCGCTTGTGAACAGCAATCTTTAAGTCTGACCACAGATTTTCCTATACATAATCCTTATGTGTATTTAAACTAATGGAAGTCATTTAGTTACTCCAATGGCCACTGGAGGGAATGCCTGCCTGCCAATGTCAAGGCAGACTCCCATAGACGGGTCCTACTATGACCCTTTACCTTGCTTCCTTGAGCTTCTGGCAAGATCTCTCTAATGAGAATTACCTAACATGTACCGAAAATACATACAGGTCTTAAACTTTCATAATAACATAATAAGATATTCCAGGTAATAAAAACATTTCACAAACAGTTTAGACAAACTAGTAGATTTTCTTTTTAAAAGGGGGAAAAAAAGCGGGGTAATAAGTTTAAAAAAAAAAAAAATAGTAAACTAAACCAATCGAAAACATAATTTAAAAAAAAAAAAAGTTTACAGTTCAATAACAGTTCAATTAAACAAAAACTATAGCACACATCTTTCCGGTTTCTCTATTTGACTACGAAATAGTATAAGTATTATAAGTATTGTTCTTACTCCCTAAAAAAATAAGCTTGCCCAAAGATCTTATCTCCTTAACACAATGACTACGATATTCAGTCTGCACATGGAGATAGTCAGTGATGTCACACTGCTCTTCTGATGACACTTTCAATGCCTACAAAAACCAAGCACAGTTCAGGTCTAAGCTAGTCTATACTCAACTATTACAGAGCAAAAACATATACATACAGAATTAAGACTAAATGGGGGGAAATTGTTATTGATGAACATTGGAATGTTCATCAAACATGGAATTTTGTAGAAATGACCCAGGAATTTTAAATTTGTGTCCAAAACAGACAAATCAAATATGAAGATATAACTCTTTAGGGCTAACATGCAAAAGTTTCTAGATCAATAAGGCCCATGTTCTTTCTAGTAAAAACACAGTTAATTTTCTTAAACATACTTTTTATCTAAAGTTGAATCTTTGAGAGTTTAGTTCAAATATTGCTATTCAGATTTCAAATCACTACACAGTTTTCTAAATAAGTCCTAAAATGTCCTGCTATCTTTCAACTTTGATTTAGAATAAATTGGGCAATGTAATGGCGACAAACTATTCTGTATAAAGCATAACTTTCCTGTAGGAAATTATCTCCTTAACACCTTACCCGATAACCGTCTGTGACTGTATGTCTTTAGAAGTGTTTTATTAGCCGCATACATTTTCAGTGATGTCTCACTGCTCTTAGGATGTCACTGACCAAATATCAAACAGAGCTCACATCTAAACCAGTCTACAGTTGACCACCACATAGCAAAACAGAAACTGTTAATGTTCAACATTCACCTAAAGTGAAATATTTTGGAGAAATGACCAGGGAATTTTATATCTATGTCCAAAATAGACAATGATCTTCCTAGATCATTAAGCCCATCTTCTTTTGAGGCAATACACCATGTGGGTGTGGAAAATGCTTTATTTTGGATGACCTAAATACTACATTCACACTCATGCTGTGCTATAGAACATTTTGTCTTGTTTTAAGTTTGGTCTTTCTTAGTCTCTCTTTCAGATTATGTCCCTTCTAGACTCTCACAAACTCTTCCAGACATAATGTCTGTCACTCTGGGGTTTCTTTTACTAAACAGACCTTTGCAGTCTGTGGAGACCCAAATTATAACAATTAGGTAAAATGTTCAATATTAAAAACATTCTTAAATTCATCTAAGTAAGATGAGATGAAGTTTGGGAGCAGCATCTTGGAGCAGTCTACAAGTTAAAGATTATATGTGGTGGAAAAAGAGGACAAAATGGAAAAAAGAGATACACTTACAGCCTTTGGAGCTATAACTTAGCTCCAGATGTAGCGCATGGGTGGTATAATCCGCACCTGTGGGTGAAGGTCTCAATTCTTGCTTCAATAGAGTATAATTTGTATATGTAATGTAAACACATCAGAGACACCAAAGTAGTGTAGTATGTTAGGAATCCCAAAAAAAAAAAAAAAAAAAAAAAATAGTAAACTCTGTATAGAATATGATCTTCACTCTTGGATATATGTGCAGAGTCCTCTCTCAAGTGTGGGTAGATTAAAAGTCTCATCATAGGTATAAAAAACAGGAAGGAAAATCTAGTGCACACTGCGATCTTAAAATAGATAAAAACAAAAAGAGATGTACTCACTTATTTTACAGTACAAACACCAAGCTCAGTCCCTTTAACATACAACAGCTTACCAAATATATACAATGACGAAATGCATGCACAAAACAAATAAAAGTGGTAAAAGCCCAATATTTCAGTGAAAATTTGAACAATAACATATCAAACCCAAGAATCTTTTGGAAAATCATAAACAACATACAAACTCCCACAACCCACCAAAATGGACAACCAAACACTTCAACACCTCCTAGATGTAGCAAATGCCTTTAATAATTACTTTGTTGGATGTGCTACCACCCTGGTAGCTAAGATAATGAATGACGCTCATTTCCAGACCACAAATAAAGATCAGGCCCTGCCAAATCTTCAAAATCCTCTTATAGAGAAATTCAATTTTAGACCTGTGCTTGTTAGTTAAAACCAGTGTGGACCAAATCAAATCTCAGCAATGTTGCTGAAGCTCAGTGCGCCAGCAATTGCTAAACCTGTCACTACCCTTATCAATGAATCCCTGGTGTCAGGATACATACCAAAACTCTGGGAGACTGCAAAAGTAGTACCTATCCATAAAAGTGGTGACAATTACTTAAATCTTAAAAAAATGTGCCCACACGCAACTATGTGAATATTATCAACAATCAAATTATCTGACCCCTCAATTAGACTTTCGTCCAAATCACTCAACTTAGACTGCCCTCTTATAAGTTTGCAATGATATCCTAATTGGCATGGAACAAGGAGACTTAAAGGACCACTATAGCGCCAGGAAAACACTCGTTTTCCTGGCACTATAGTGCCCTGAGGGTGCCCCCACCCTCAGGGTCTCCCTCCCGCCCGGCTCTGGAAGGGGGAAAACGTACCATTTTCCAACGCTGGGCGGGGAGCTCTCTGCCACCTCTCCTCCGCCCCGTCGGCTGAATGCGCACGAGCGGCAAGAGCTGCGCGCGCATTCAGCCGGTCGCATAGGAAAGCATTATCAATGCTTTCCTATGGACGCTTGCGTGCTCTCACTGCGATTTTCACAGTGAAAAGCACGCAAGCGCCTCTAGCGGCTGTCAATGAGACAGCTGCTAGAGGCTTTGGGGGAAGGCTTAACCCATTGATAAACATAGCAGTTTCTCTGAAACTGCTATGTTTATAAAACAATGGGTTAACCCTAGAAGGACCTGGCACCCAGACCACTTCATTAAGCTGAAGTGGTCTGGGTGCCTAGAGTGGTCCTTTAACTGGAGCCATTTTCCTTGATTTTGCCAAGGCCTTTGGCACATTAGACCATGGCATTCTTTTGCAAAAACTTAAAAACTCAGGCATTGGTGATCGTCCGCTAACCTGGTTTCGATCATGTTTCAGACAGATTGCAATATGTGGCCATTTCTGATAGCGCCTCTTTCCCTCTTACAGCCAGTGTGGTGTTCCTCAAGGCTCCATATTTGTCCACCTGCTATTCACATTGTTTATAAATGATCTGCCTAACGTCTGCAAATCCTCAACTGTACACATGTATGCAGACGACACTGTAATCTACGCTAGTAAACCCAATCTAGTGCAGCTTAAGGCTGTGCTCCAAAACCAATTCACAGAGGTAGAAAGATGGATTGCGGTTAACAAACTCTTCCTAAACACTGACAAAACAGTTACAATGATCTTTGGAACTGTACCTAAATTGCGTAAACTACAAAATCAACAACTATGTATCAGAACAAATTCAAATAGCACACTGACAGCAGTCTGTTCTTTAAAATATCTAGATATGTTGCTAGACTCCAATCTATCCTTTGGGCTTCACATTGAAAAAATCTCTTCAAAACTTTACCCCAAATTAGGTGTCATGTACAGAAACAAATCCTGCCTAAGCCCTGCAGTTAGGAAACAGTGCAACAAATGCTAATGCCGGTCATTGATTATGGGGATGTAGTGTATGCACCTGCATCACAAACCCCTTAAGCTTAAAATGTTATATAATTCGTTCTGTCGTTTTGCACTAGAATGTAAAATCCAAAGGTAAAAAGTTATCTGCCCTCTCTCCTAAATCCTTATGTATATTTAAACTAATGGAGGTCATTTAGGTACTCCAATGGCCACTGGAGGGAATGCCCGCCTGCCAACATCAAGGCAGACCCCCCCTAGACAGGTCCTATTCTGACCATTCACCTTGCTTCCTTGAGCTTCTGGCAAGAATTCTCTAATGAGACACCCCTATTTACTTATGAACCCTTAATAGGGAACACATGGGATGGGCGGCAGCATTGTAACCTAGCTGTGTGATACAAAAAGTGAATACAAATACAAAAAGAAAAGTCCAGTGCTCACTCCCCTCACTCCCGGGCGGCAGCAACGACCACAGTACACATCAGCTCCAATATATATAGTAAAAACCAAAGAAAAAGTTACCTGCGGTCTCTCCTTAATCACTATGTATATTTAAACAAATGGAGGTCAGAAAGGGGTATTTTTTATATACACCCCTATGCCGCCCAGGAGTGATGGGAGTGAGCGCAGGACTTTTCGTTTTGTATTCACTTTTTGTATCACACAGCTAGGTTTGGTGGGCCTGAGCCTGCATGATCCATCAGAAAGTGAAGAGATCTAGAAAGTAGGGATGCACCGAAATGAAACTTCTGGGCCGAAACCGAAAATTCAGGATGCCCTTGGCCGAAAACAAAAATGACTTTTTTCCCCCAAATGATTTAAAAAGAAAAAAAGGTTATTTCCTATAATTTTTTTAATATTAGACTTTTTAATGAATTTAATGAATCTAATATGAAAAACTTCCACTCTCTTTTAATGGTCCCCCCTGCTTAATGTTCACGAGGGTGGGGGGAGGGGCAACTTAATAACCCTATAGTGCCAGGAAAACAGTTCTGGTCACTTCTTACTTGGGGAGAGAAGAGATTTCTGACGATTAATCGTTAGCTGACTGGCTGAGGAACAGCCTTGTCACGGCTCGGGTGATATGTAGGACAAGTTTGTTGTTCGTTCTAAGCAAACTGTTTAGTCTTCTTACAAAAGTTAGGGTTGTCCACACCCTCTTCCAAAATTAAAATAAAAATAACATACAAGAGGCTCTTGTAGGGTCTAGCAAGCTATTAACATAGCAGGGGATACGAAAATCTAAATTAAACAGAACTTGCAATAAAGGAAGGATAAACTGTAGATGACTCTTTACAGGAAGTGTTTAGGAAGGCTATGCAAGTCACATGCAGGGGAGGTGTGACTAGGGTTTATAAACAAAGTGATTTAACTCCTAAATGGCAGCAGACAATTGAGCCGTAAGAATGCAGGGGCATGATCTATACACCAAAACTGCTTCATTAAACTTAAGTTGTTTTGGTGACTATAGTGTCCCTTTAAGGTAAAAAAGTATTTAACCAAAGCTTCAGCACTGGGCAAATAATTAAATGCTTGATTTAAGTTGCATCAGAAACGCAGGAGTTAAACCAAGACTGGAACAGGGTTGCAGGGGCTAACCAAGGCAGAATTCAGGCAGACAAGAGTTGGTTCAGGAAATCCACAGGTGAGGGTGATCAGATTACTTCAGGCAGGCTCTGGCTCTGTATTCTATCACAATTCTCCTCAAGGCACACCTAGCAGTCCAGGATTTAGGGATTACCTGGGTGTGTCTAATGTGTTTAGATAAAGAAAGAGAAAAAAAAAAAAAAAAACACACCTTAGAGTTTTTTGTTTTTTTTTTAAACACCTTAGATACACCCTGGTAATCACTAAATCCTTGACTGTTAGGTGTGTCTTGAGGAGAGGGTTGAGGAGCACTGCTCTAGGAAAACAACAATACAAACTAGAAAAGCTACAATTTCTGGGGAAATTGTGTGAAGTGTTCTTGCCTCCACCAGTAGTCTATAACTGGAGTGGGCGGAGTAACTGTTATCATTTATTTAGCACATTTAATTGCAACGTTGTTGCACAGTTACATTAAACCATACATTTATAAAAACATTAGCAGGTGTTCAAAAGGCCCTGTCTATGACATCACTTGCTGCTGCAGCCTGGCACAGGTCAGAGTATTTTGCCGTTTGCCATCTTCAAACGGTTGTATTTTAAAAACTATACATCCTACAGCGAAGAGCTTTATTTTGTGAGAATCACAAGACCCAGACCTACATTTCGATGCATAGTATGTCTCTGAAGTATTAAAAATGAAGTCACAGTCGCAGTTTAGAAATTGCACTTCAAATATGAGCTTTGTAGAGTGAAGTTTCAATGAATGTCAATGGACGGCGTTAGTTGCAAACAAATGATTATATTGTGAAAACTATAAGGACTATGGCTTAGCCGTTGACATGTTTAGTGGCAGCAGGGATAGCTGAACGTTTTGATATAAGATTTGTGTAGGTGGGCCTGAAAATAAGGGAGTGGTGGCAGTTTAGAAATCATGTCCTGATTTTTCAGCTTTTGCCAGCTCCCACTCTAGCTTTGCCATTCATTCCTATGGGACAAATCTCACCACAAGAATGACGATATTCTGTGAACAATCTGCACGTTTTGGTAAATTTTTGTCTATGTAGTGTAAAAACTGTGGGAGGAGTTAGGGTGGCAAATTTGGCTATAATAAGAATAATATATATGTGAGATAACATTAAGTGGTCTTGCTATGCAAGAACACTTAATGAGCACATATCCTAGTGGTGCGTGTGCTTAAATAGGGAAAAGGAAATGGGGGCCCTCCCATGAGGAGGGGGAATAGGGGCTATATAAGTGGAAGTCTCCTCTGGGTAACTACAGTGAGGGAAAAAAGTATTTGATCCCCTGCTGATATTGAAAGTTTGTCCACTGACAAAGAAATGATCAGTCTATAATTTTAATGGTAGGTGTGTTTTAACAGTGAGAGACAGAACAAAAAAAAAAAAAATGTGGGGAGGGGGGAGATTATATTGAAGAATATATGTTCATAGATAAATACATTTCCATTTTGTTTGTTTGGCAAAGTAAAGCAACATTGAATCTAAGGTATCACCCCAGTCACCTTTAAACTCAGCTCTAGTCTTGACCTAATCAAAAAAATTATTTTAGCTTACCTCTCTTCCAGTTATGTTTTTACTATTCAGCTGCCCTAAATCTAGGGCTTACACACACCCCACACTACAGTTTCACAAGTATCCTCCACTCAAACTCCTCCAGCACTAATTTCTTTTTGTAAGTTTATGTTGTATATGCGTGTGCCAATTCCTATTGAGGTGTCTGAAGTGACTACTGTAAATACGGTTATCAGCCACATTAAAACCACTGAAAAAGTTACCTGCACTCTCTTTTTAATTCCCTATGTATATTTAAACAAATGGAGGTCATTTAGTTACTCCAATGGCCACTGGAGGGAATGCCCGCCTGCCAACGTCAAGGCAGACCCCCCTAGACGGGTCCTACACTGACCCTTCATCTTGCTTCCTTGAGCTTCTGGCAAAAATATCAGAAAGGGGTATTTTTTATATACACCCCTATATACTTGTTAACCCTTAATAGGGAACACATGGTATGGGCGGCTGCTAATGTCTTGTTGCCAGATACAACAGGACATGTTTAGAGGTCTTTCATAGTCCATACCTTGACACATCAGAGCTGTTTTGACAGCACAAGGGAGACCTACACAATATTAGGCAGGTAGTTTTATTGTTTTGGCTGATCAGTGTATGTGTATACCTGCACATATGACTATACATGTAATGTTATGCATGTATATATGGCTAAATATGTGAGGTGTGACTGCATGTAGAGAGAAAGTGTGTGTGTGTGTGTGTGTGTGTGGCAACTGGGGTGTTTACTCACAAACCCAAGAATTGTACAGAATTCAAAACGCACAATTTACTGTTTAATGAATAAACCCCATTAATACACAGTTACAACACACATTTATTATAAATGGAGTCTAAAATACATATTACACTGCAGCATGTGGCTGTGTTCTAGCTCCGAAGTTACAAAACTCACATTTTAGTCTGGTTGTGGCAGGAAGAGAGCTCTTCAGTCTTAATAAGGGCTTAAAGGGATTCGCTAGTGCCAGAAAAACAAACCCGTCCTGGAGTGCCCCCCACCAAATGGGCTGAAGTGGTCTGGGTGCCTATAGTGTCCCTATAAGGCAAGGGTCAATAAAGTTTCTACTACATTTGGAAAGAGCTGAAGAATCTGTGTGTGAGGGAGGAAGGGCTGGAGGCGTGGCCTGGCTGAATGTTGCTCAATACTGCTTACATAGAAACATAGAATGTGACGGCAGATAAGAACCATTCAGCCCATCTAGTCTGCCCAATATTTCAAAATACTTTTAATTAGTCCCTGGCCTCATCTTAAGTCTAAGGTAGCCTTATGCCTATCCCATGCATGCTTAAACTCCCTCTCTGTGTTAACCTCTAACACTTCAGCTGAAAAGCTATTCCATGCATCCACTACCCTCTCAGTAAAGTAATACTTCCTGATATTTTTAAACCTTTGCCCCTCTAATTTAAGACTATGTCCTCTTGTTGTGGTAGTTTTTCTTCTTTTAAATAATCTCCTTTACGGTGTTGATTCCCTTTATATATTTAAATGTTTCTATCATATTCCCCATGTCTCGTCTTTCCTCCAAGTTATACATGTTAAGTTCCTTTAACCTTTCCTGGTAAGTTTTATCCTGCAATCCAGGAACCAGCTTAGTAGCCCTTCTCTGAACTCTCTGTAAGGTATCAATATCATTCTGAAGATACGGTCTCCAGTACTGCGTACAATACCTCAAGTGAGGTCTCACCAGTGTTCTGTACAATGGCATGAGCACATCCCTCTTTCTACTGCTAATACCTCTCCCTATACAACCAAGCATTCTGCTAGCATTTCCAGTATTACATTGTCTTCCTACCTTTAAGTCATCTGAAATAATTACTCCTAAATCCCTTTCCATGGAGGAAGGGCATACAATAATGATGCGGGTGTCTTGCATTTTATTTAAAAAAAAAAAAAAGATACGGGTAGTGGGCATAAACAAAATAGGGCAGTTTTCCAGTGCAGCTCTCAGAACCTATGCTTCTATAAGCAGCAGTTTTCCACAAAGGTGGACAGCAAGAGCAGCTGTAAACCGGCATAAGAATACAAAGGTGAAGAGATTTAGAAGGGATTGCCACCTCCTCCAAAAACATTTTTATATTCGGATGACATTTTTAGAAAGTTGATTTAATACAAATGCCAGCATATTCCTTAAAAATACCACAAGCACTACACAGATTAAGACGCTAAAAATCCCAAATTGACAAAGCCAATTTACTAAAAACAAATTTTCACCTACAGAAACTACAAGCCTAGTTTTATCACCAGGGTAACAGGGCAGGCAAGTTGCTGGCCAACTTACTTAAACGTAGACAAGCGAAACAACATATGTCATCCATACGTGTAAACGATACAAAAACGGTACACAAACCCCAGGACATTAGCGAGGCTCTTGCGACATTTTATAAGGCTCTCTATAACCAAGACAGACCAACCCAACGTACGACCTACTGGGGAACAGATCTGGAACTTCCTAGACAGGGTGTCGCTCCCCAAATTAACAGCTGCCCAAGCAGCATCCCTGACTGAACGTTTTTCGACCGACGAAATCCTTAAGACTATAGCGGGGTTGCTGCCCCATAAAGCACTGGGACCACACGGCCTAACATGCAATTATATTACAAGGTTTTTGGGGATCTCTTAGAACCATTTATGACAAAGTGGTTTAATGATACTAACCAAGACAAAGGCTTACCGACAGACATGCTACTAGCTAATATTATCACACTACCCAAACCTGGGAAACAACTGAAAGAATGCAAACATTTTAGACCCATATCGTTGCTCAATGTGGATGCCAAGATCTACGCTAAGCTGCTAGCAACCAGATTATCCTTGGTCATACCAACCCTAATAAAGGGAGACCAGGTGGGGTTTGTAGCTGGGCGCCAAGGGGCAGATAACTCATGCAAGGTGCTTGACCTGTTAAGCCATATGAGGCGGGCCGGGACAGAGGGCCTACTGCTCTCACTGGAAAAAGCGTATGACCGGTTGGGCTGGGAGTTATTGGTCTCGGCCCTTGGGAAGGTTTGGTACCCCACAACAATTTCTCAAGTCATGTCCCTTTACAATGGACCGACAGAGGTGGTATCTACGGGCAGTTACACGTCCACGAGATTTAAGTAAACTAATGGCACGAGGCAGGGTTGCCCTATGTCGCCAATCTTGTATATATTAGCACTCGAACCGCTGGCAGAACTGATACTATCCACACCCAGCATACACGGTATTAACATTGGAGGTGGGGAACACAAACTTAACCTCTTTGCGGACGACGTCCTAATTACTATGACCCAACCAAGGACATCAGAACCAGAAGTCCACAAAATACTGATGGACTCTGGTGCCGTGTCGTATCACAAACTTAATGAGCCAAATTCCCAAGCAATGGGGATCAATCTTACCGTGACGACTACCCAATATCTTAAAATCGCAATACAAATTTGAATGGTCAGACACACACATCAAGTTCTTGGGCCTGTGGCTGTCACGAAATCCCCGGAACCTCTGTGAGGACAACTATGTTAGGATTTGGAGGGAAATAGAACACACTATCAGGGAATGGAGAGACAAATATATATCATGGGTGGGCAGAGCAGCCGCTTTTAAAATTGTGTTTTTACCTAAACTACAAAACATCTTCCGTCTGCTGCCAATAGCGGCACCAATATCCTTCTTTTAAAAAGCACAAAAGGATTTAGCAAGATTTGTATGGGCAGGTTAAAAACCCAGGGTAGCCATGAAACAGCTACATAGAAGCTACACTGAGGGAGGCACAGGGGTCCCCGACCTCCTCTTGTACCATAGAGCGGCAGTGCTGGCGCCACTGACACAGGCAATTGCGACCCAAAACCGCCCACAAAGGGTCTCTATTGAGGAAAGGTTCTTAGGCACACCGCTGGCAACTATGAGCATAGGCCCAGAGCACCTGACATACTGCCTATCACGCAGTTTAAGATACAAACATAGGACAAACAAACACCCCTTATTATGGACACAGAATCAAGAACTTTAATGTGGCTGCATGGCAGCAAGCGGGGATCCACCACCTCCACTGCTTTTACGAAAGAGACATGAGGCTATCCTTTCAAGAGCTAGTGACAAAATAGAACATCCCAAAGACCATACAATATGCATACCTCCAAATTACACACTTTTTAGACTCCAATAGGGAACACAGACAACAGAAAGGCCGGGACAAAACCATGTCCCAATTCGAGAAGATGTGTGTGGGGATCGCCCCAGCTCGGGGACAGCTATACGTGTGCTACCAGGCACTAAATCAACACCAACCCTTTGGACAATGCCAGTACGCAGTAGAGTGGACTCGGGACTGCGGGGCAACCACTGCAGACTCACAATGGGCAATTATCCTGCGGGCATTGAAAGGGATCACGCACTGCACAGCACACATAGAATTGCACAGGAAAATTTTGCTAAGGTGGTTCATGGTTCCAGCCAGACTAGCACGCATCTACCAAGGCATCTCCCCTATATGCTGGAGATGTGGCAAACACAAGGGCACGATGCTCCACATATGGTGGACATGCCCAGTCCTCCTACCAATGTGGACTAAGATACACTCCATAGTGTAGAACATTGCGAAAAAAGCCATACCTAATAAACCCTTAAACGTATGGTTGTTGTATCTGCCATCCCAAATATCATGGGATAACAAAGTGTTGACAACCCACGTTCTATTAGCCACCCTCCACCTTATTGTGAGGCACTGGAAACAGACAAGACCTCTGTCAATTAATGACATAATTGCCACTGTGAAAAAAAAATACAAAATTACATAAGCAGAATTAGAAGAGAGGAGACAACAGAAGTCGTTCCCCTGGATGGGGTGGGACCAATTAAGAGCGGGGTACAGCGATAGAGATGACTTACAGGCCGGAGGGCCGGATGCCGCTGAGCCCTCCATAGAGTGTGAGGCTGGACTGGTATAGATAGTGAGCAGCATGTAGGGTTGAAACCACCCATACGTAGACCCGGTCACTTCTGTCAGTGCACCCAATGCAGACCAGTAACTATAGCAAACACCTGAGGGAACCATCCCCCTCCAACTCACCACGGGGGTTCCAGTGTTTATTGTTTACGGATCATTGTTGAATACCAACCACTTACAAGGGAAGATGGGGAAGTGGACGGGCAGGTGAATTAATGCATTGCACAATGTCTGGAATGTATGTATATAGCAAATACAAGAATACAAATGGACACTGAACTGTATTCGACTGAAAACCTGTCACAGGTCAATGTACAGCATGCCTAAGTGTCATAACCTTTTGACTATATTCGCTTGTTCCCCTACACCCTTTTCCTTTCTGTAATCCCTTATGTTTTTTTTGACTATCAAATTGAAATTGATTGAAATTCAAATTAAAAAAATAAAAATACCACAAGCAGAAAACTTTAAGATATATAAAATCATTGGGTTATTTAAATAGTGTATGCTGTTCCATTTTACTGGGGCAACTATATAATCCCCAATACTATTATCCACCATTTATGCCTGAAAAAAAAATGAATTAAAATAACAGTGTAAATTTAATTAATTTATTTAAAGATATCTCAGAATAGCCGGCTATACATTACATTGTTGTTTAACCCTATCCGTAGTATTTTTACATTTACTTTTCTGGCAAAAAAAAATTCTACTGGTAGTGAAACGGTGATTAACTAAAAGGACGTAGAAGGGCTAATGCAGTATAATATAACGTTGCAGGGAGCAAAGAAAACACCTAATAGAGAAGGCCCAGTCATTGAGCACAAAGTAGATTCTTGAGCAGTCAAATAAGATTACAACAGAAACACAATCAAAATTCAGAAAATTCTGATATTGAGAAAAAAAAAAAAAAATGATCCAAATTTATAATTTGAGCATTAAAATAAAAAACATTTTTTGCAAGCTTGTATGCCAACAATTCAATTGAATTAAAGTATACAATTATTTTCTTATTGCATATACAACTTATTAAAAATAGTGCGAGAAAAAAATGTGATGCATAAGTCTTGTTAGTCTAGTGAACTGTAAATGGCATGTTAATTCAATTAACTCCTCTATCCTGCTGTACTACATATTTAGAAAAGACAAAAATACCTTAAGTTTAGTACAGAACAATCAGGTACACTTTTTATCATTTATTTAAATACAAAATGTAAACACAGAAGCTGTCCCATTTGCCAGGATACATCCTTTCACTTCTGTAGCAGTGATCTTGGTCATGGAGATTAATTCAAACAACTTGTGCAGCATTTAAGAATAGCATCCCTTTTGAAGAAAAAAAAAAAAGTGGTGTGTGTATATGATTAAAATTATAAAGACCAGACAATTAATTCTATTGTGATGCATACATAAAATTGCAGTTTTTACTTGGAATCTCTCTTAATTGATACACCGTTACGATTTCTTATTATCAAATGGACTTAAATTCTTACATTGGACATTACATTTTTCAATTTAAAATGTTTAAATTGCTAGCTAAATTGTAAAATACAAAATATATATTATATATATATATATATAAATCAGACACTTGGAAAGATTGATCTTTTTAATAATTTTTATCTTAAAGCGGTATTAAAGGGTTACTATAAACCTTTATTGAGTAATGTTTAAATTCAATATAGAATGCCCTATTGCTCACAAGGTCTCCCCACATAAAACGCATGATTAAATGTTAAAATCTACCTGCAAATCAGCAACAGGTGAAGTTCCTGGCACTCCTCCCCACAACCCTGTCACAGGTTTCCTCACGTGGCAAATCAAATGCTTCTCAAATAGACCATTCTCGCAGGCTTAGAACACATACACATGTCCGGAGCCAGTGAGGTAGTACAAGTGGATGGGCATGGCTGGATGCTAATCTAGTTTAGCGAGAGGGCCTGCAAGAAGGGAACGCTGGCAGAGCACCTGCAAAGGGAAAAACCGACCACGCTGACGACAGACGTAATAAATGCACGGATTGACATTAGTCAGTTGGGCCAATGTCATGTGTGTTGGAGGTGCAACATGCCCTCAGCACACAAATGCCAACAGTTTCAAGCTGAATCACTGCATATACCAACTCCTACCATCATGATTACTTTATAAAGCAGAAGTGGTCATGGTGGTTAGAGTAACCATTTATGAAGAGAAAAAGAGAGGTATCCTTGCCCAACAGACCCCTAAAGCATTGTGTGTGAGATGGTCACCTTTTTATTTTTTACTGTACAAAAAGTACAGATTTCAATAGAAATCGGCACTTTTATAAACTAACCTTGTCATACCCCCTTAGATTTCATGTAGACAACAGCTCCTGTTACTTCCTTGTTTGTCTAGCTCAGTGGATCTAAACTCCAGTGGCAGGTATTGCACAGAGCACCTGTCATGCAAATACTTCTCATTGAGCTGCATTATAAAGTCTGTGATTGGACAGCCACAGAAATTCTGGGCTTGGTTAGAAGAGGAGGGGTTGCAAAGGCAGCAGACAAAAAAAAAAAAATGCAAATTTTGCATGCTGTTTTTATATATACTCCCAATGACAAAATGCATAATTAAATGCACAAATAAATATAAAAAGGTTTTTTTCAGGTATTTTCCCCCATTCATTTCCTTATATATACACACCCTATTTATTTCCTTAATTGTGCCACACATTCTAAAGTCTTTGATTTTTTCTTTTTGCTCACAAAAAGGTGTTGCCAACATATATAAAAAAAAAAAAAAATCCTTTCTGCCAGTGGAATAAAGCACCAACACTCTCCTGAGGCCCATCTGATCCTTCCTTGAAGCGACTACTGTAGCTGCACCTACATACAGGCTTCTCCTCAATACAACACTTACCTCCTCGAGAGGAATCTTTTCCCAGATGCCCAGCTGTTTCTTCGCAGTCAAGGAATTGGGTGAAGGTGCACGAGATCTACTTAGGCGATCCTACCAGCCTGGGCTTTATCCCGCCTTACCTACCAGACAGTGGATTCCTGTATTTTCCTTGTTTTAGCATACTCTCAATGTCAAAGCCTACACTTTCTGAACGCCATCGAGATAACTTCAGGCTATTGTGTTATATCTTGTTTAGCCATGACCACCAGACCGGACTATAAAGCCTATTTTTATTACTGGTTTGTTTTTTAGGTGTGAATTTTATCTCCAAACGCCATGTAACTATGTTTCTGAAGTGCTTTCTACTGCCATCGTGGAATTGCAAGCATAACTAATCTCATGCACAACAAAAATAAAGAATAATAAAAAAAAAAAAGTATATATATATATATATGAAAATAATTCTTGGCACTCACCCTTAATATTTCAAAAACTATTGCAGTATTGCCTGGGTGCAATCCTTAGCGTTTAAATATAACAAAAATCAATATGAAAGGAGCACTCACAGGTCTTCATACGAATATTAATTTATTCCAAGGTGCAAGTTACATGTGCAATCGACGTTTCGACCCTCACAGGGTCTTCTTCAAGATCAAATAACCAGTGAAACAGGTAAGTATATATACACAAACAAATATACATTAATAACTTACCAACAGGTGTGTGGGAAAATAAAACCGCCAAATGTCCGAAAAACCGGAAGTATCTCTAGTGATCATGTGATCCTCTATCATTATGTGACCAATCCGCCCTCTGTGTATCCAGTTACAAGTTGTGTGAATACCTAAAACCGCCGAGCATCCGAAACCCGGAAGTGCCTATGCGGTCACATGGTCTAGTTGCCAGGCAACCTACAACGCTATCTCTATGTGTAACTACGTAAATCCGCCGAGCATCCGAAACCCGGAAGTACCCATGCGATCACATGATCTAGTTACCAGGCAACCTACAACGCTGCCTCTGTGTGCAATCTGGCGATGTGGAAATATGTGCCATCTATAATATAAACATAACAGTTACAAAAAGTGACAAAGTGCTGCAAAATGAATAAAAATGTACATACATACAAGTGTACAAATGTACATATATGTATATGCATCTCTATCCACAGGAGGATCTCAATAGTTAATATGTTAATCACTACTTACTAATGTGGAAATGGCAGTTCCAAATATCAATTTATACATCAGAACATAGGATATATTTGGAACTGCCATTAGGTAGGCTGAACTTGATGGACGCAAGTCTCTTTTCAGCTATGTAACTATGTAACTAAAAGAGCAGGAGCATTTCTCGAGATTCCAGGAACACCTGGAGCTTCAGCCCAATGGAAAACTTGATGACCCTTATTATGACAGAGGCAGATATGTTCGCTATCATGCCTGCTTTTCTATGTTATCCCTGTCCTCTAAACTGATGAACATTGTGCTGCTGATGAAAGCAGAGTAAGGCAACAGTCAGCACTACAGAAGGGGAGATGTAGTGGACTACATCTCCCCTTCTGCTGGCTGTAGGCAGCCAGATCACTTCAGCTCATTGAAGTGGTCGGGGTGCAATGTCCCATGTCCCTTAACCCGAGCGCAATTTCTGATAAACTGCAATAATTACCTCTGAGGGTTAACTCCACCTCTAGTGGCTGTCTACCAAACAGCCACCAGAGGGACTTCCTGAATTGTAACGGACTATTGGTCCGTTATCGGATGCTGGAGGTCCTCATGCTCAGCATGAGGACTTCCAGTGTCAGATTTTTCCCTTTAGGAAAGCATTAAATAATGCTTTCCTATGGGGAAATCCTAATGAGAGTGCTGCCATTGCCGCGCATGCGCATAAGGTCTCCCCCGTCGGTGCTAGATTCAGGTGAGTGACTGAAGGGGTTTTAATGGCTTTATTTCCTGGCACTATAGAATCCCTTTAAGGGAGATGTAGTTCAAAACATGTGGAGTGTCAAAGGTTGCCTACCCCTGCAATAAAGCAAAGTCAGGAACAAGAGATTGCTGCATAGTCAGATATTCAATGCATTCCAGGCAATGTACTTACCTGTGCGGTAAATTTCCGTTCCCCAGCACCTCATCAAGACCATCACCTGGATGACATCCCCCACTCCGCCCAAGTGACTTGCTAAAGTACTAGGTTGCTGATCTTTCTCTATAGGCGACTGCATTAAAGGAACACTCCACAGCCATTAAGTACTTCAGCCTTCATGCTGACCAGTTTATAAAAGTGCCCATTTCTTTTAGAAATCGGCACGTTAGTACACTAATGAAAAACCCTCCTGCTTCCATTAGCTATCCGGAGCTGACAGAAGTGGCAGGCACACTCTACTTAAGCTTGCCTGCCTGCCTGCCTTCTCCTCTGCATATCTCAGGCCAGCGTACATTATGTTGATCAAGAGTGCCAACATGACGATGTGTGCGCGAGCACAGACCCGTACACGGAGGGAGCCTTTTAG